GCAGGGTCCATGCTGCAGGTGCTCCAGGCGGAGAGTACGGACCCACGGGCAAAATAAGTTGTAAGCTCGGAGAAGCTGTGCTCCCTACTTCCACCGAGTAGCAATGGAGGAAAAAAATGAATAATGAGGAGCACAGGTATATTTTGAAAGGGGATAAAATCCGCCAACCCACACTCTTGTGCTTTTTCCCTCTGCACCAGCAAGAGTGAGTTATTGTGCTTATCAGCCAGACAATAGCAGTCGGGCTGAGAAACTTCTACCTCAAACTGTGCATATTGTACAGGGGAATAAATGTGGACCGTGTTTATATTAAACAGTATATTTACATACCACTAGCAGTATTTTATGAAGAAGGGGTGTGTGGGGGGGTGAGGAGCCTTCTGCAGCTTGTTCATTGTAATTGCAGATGAATGCCGGGGGGGGATGGGGGAATCCTGGCAACAACAAAAATTTACTGCACATTTTTAAAAAAATGGCTTCAAGGCCATTTTTTGCACAGTGTTAAGAGTTGTAAAGTTATTTGAAGATGTTACTTGCACACACACACACACAAATTAAAAATGAAATGGAGGTTTGAATAACACCAACCCTGAACCTGATTTCTGGTTTTGTCTGATCTGATATAGTTTTATTGAGAGAGTGACTTTTTTTTAATATTATTTTATGAAGGTACTGTAAATATATCCATATTATAAATTAAAATATCTTAAGAGACTTTATTATTTTTTTTTCCAAGTGCCCGCGTGAATCTGCTGTTATTTTATCACTTGTGTGTCATTTCCATTTTCCTCTCTGTGTGTGTTTTATAACATATTTATACTCTGGTGCAATTTACTACTGTGTAAGTAATTGGTCTATGTGCAATAAATACCATTGCAGCACAAGCAAGCGTGTCTCTATAGGTTTTGAAACAATACCTACTTATAATGGGAAGAACAGCATTTGTTTTTCTCCAAAGATGGCTCAGATTACCAATACAACTCTATCTAATGGCTTTTCCTGACACAGTGTTGTAAAAAACGTGTTTGAAACCCAATAAGGTTGTGTTCCTGTTGCACCGAAGTCTGCTGACTTCCCTTGAAATTAATAGCTAAAGACAAGGTGTTTCCAGTCTGATAATGAATACACTCATTTTTTGTAACTATTCCTTTCTGGAATATATTTTTTTTGTTTCGTTTTGTTTTGTTTTTTTGTTAGGAGTACACATTTTGGGAGACGGGAGACCGGAACACTTAAGATTGCAGAGGCTGCTTAATTTGAAAGCTAAAAATGGTCTCGAGTAGAAAGAAATCTCCGTATGTGGCACACACCACCCCGCAAAGGAGTCCACCTCATGCCGACGGTGGGCTTGATCCTGCCTGAGCGAGGTGGGCGGTGGGCATCCTGCTGGGGTTGGGTCCCCGTGCTGAGGCTGGGGGAGACCCCTGCCCAAAAAGCAGCCAGAGGAGGTTCGTGCCCTGTAAGGGGAGATGGCAGCTGGGGAGCTGGTCGGAGGAGACCAGACTTTGGTTTTCTCTTGCTATAAAAAAGGAGTTAACCTCTGAGGGAATATCTGGGGTGTAACTGGAGGAGGCTCAGACCCTGGGACAGACTTAAATGCCGCTGAAATCAGGCGAAACCTATTGTCACTGGGTGGAATAAAACTACCCATTTTGTAGACCATAAAGCTGATGGTCACATGCAGCATGGCTTAATTTGCAGCAGTCTGCTGCCAATAATCACATATTCCTTGGGGCCAGGTTATGACAACTGCATGGTAGATCATGGACTGATCCAAGGAAGGAGGTTCTGGGAGGAGAAGGACCCTTGCAGACTTGGGTCCTTGGTCCAAAAGATTGTCATCCTTTGTTGCTTTATGAAGGTATGCTGTATCCTTGTGGTTTCATAAAGTTTTTCATTATTGCAATGAATGTATGGCAGATAGAGCAATCAAAAGGCAGGACAGAATAAAAGTGAAGCCATTTTTAGCTTTGTAAAACTCAGAAGTATAGTCAAATTAGAAATCAGCTCCCAGGAAGAACACTACCCAAAGTGAGTTCTTTAGGGTGGTGGCCAACAGTTTGTACTGGAAGCCATTTGTTCTTTTTTTTTGTTTGCTTTAAAGATTAAGGAATTTCTCTTTTGCCATTTCTAATGGTGTATTTTCAGGAAAAAAAAAAAAAAAAAGGTTAAGCTTTTTATGGAAGGGACCAGGGAAGTAAGTGAAACTGGGGATTGATGTGAGCTGCAGTTAATGGTGTCTCCCTTGATAATGGTGAAATGGGCTCCTTAAAATGCCGGGGTGATGTCAGGTCAGGTGCTAAGTGAAGTAGGCTCTGCCACCATTTTTTTTTTTTTTAATCTGGTTTTGTTTGTGATTCAAGCAAAGACAACAGGACCAAAAGGGTTCACGGGATGGCGGTGTCTGAAGCCAGTGACTGTGGCGAGGTGTTGGCTGCACATGTCGGGATGGGATGGGGAGGCAGCGCTGCCCTCCTCCTCCTGAATGCTGGGGATCCCAGCGAGCCAGGGCAGGATGGGGTACGTGCCTGCGAGGTAGGACAGGGCAGGATCCATCCCCAGAACCAGGTGGGAGCTGCAGTGGCTGTTGAGGTGCTGGATCCTGGGGATGAGCAGTGGCTGCCTACTGCGTGGGCATTGTGCAGGTGGGACAGGCTGATGGGCTTGGGTCTTTGTCTCATGACTCAGTTCACATACTTGATTTTAACCATCTGAACGCTCATATCCTTAGACTTCAAAAAGTTATTAAAGTTTTGGCTCAACAGGGTCCTAGGTGGGAAATTTAGGGCCAGGACTTGTTCAGCTTCTCCAGCCAAATAGCTGCTGTACTGGGTCGTGCTTCCCCTGGACAAGTGTAACAGCATGAAGAAGGCGAAAAGTGGGATGAATTTTGCTCGTTGGCCCCAGCAGGGCCAGCCGTGTGAGCAAAGTGGTCAGCATGTGTCTGCTGCTGAGTTTTGGCCAGTCCATGACCTGCTTGAAGAGCCTGGAGGCTGGTGCATTAAGTCCTTTTGTAGGCAGCTAAGATAATTCACCTACCAGGGCGGATGGTAGATGCTGGTCCGTCTTGCAGGGTGTAAAATAAGCCAGTGGCACAGTAACGGTGTGGACTGAGCAGGACATATGGCCCGCACGTGTGCGGGGAAGGGAGGCTGCTGGCGAGCCGTCGGCCGGGGATCAGGCTCAGAACAGGCTGTTCTCCACCGAGAAGAGGGATACTCTGAAAAGTGTTACGGGGCAGCTGAAATACTCCGGAGGCAATGAGTCAAACGCTCGCAATGAATGTATTTTTCTGACAAAAGCCAGACGTGGATTAGCAGTTGGAGCTGCAAGTCAGAAAGTAGAGGCGGTGGGCATGCGGC